TAAAAGCAAAAAACTGCCAAGCTAACATGAATATATACTCAGAGAATAATAGCCTTTAAAAAATGAATGCAAAATAGACATTCTCAGGCAGACAACAACAGAATGCATTTCTGTCAGCTCTGCTCTTCAAGAAATACTTATAATGAACTTCTTAGCAACTTGGTTGGACTTAGAGTCTATAATACTGAGTGATCTATCACAGAAACAAAGAACTGTTCTCACTCATAAGCAGACCCTGAACAATTATCATAATACCATAAGAAAGGGATTGGCAGTAGTGGGAAACTGCCAGGGTATTGAGGGGGGGCATACCTCATCAATAAGGGTACCTGATCTCAAACCAGGTGATGCGGGGACCCAAGCTATTCCACACTGACACCTAACCCACCTTTGGCCGTTGCCACAGTACACGAAGATTTTAACTAATACTCTCTTATCAGCTAGCATGACAGAAATTCTGTTTTTGTTGCAAGTATTAAAACATACCTTAAAACCTTAGAGAAAACCTTTTTACCCTTCTTAATAAACAGATAGTGACAGGAACACAATATAGATTACATTATGTATATGTGGTAACTAGTATGTATATATTTGCTAACATTAACTTATGTATTCTAAACAAAACCAAGTGGTTAATCTAGTGCTTGCACTTTCAAAAATACTGTAAAAATGTAAAGCTTCTGGTCATAATTTTTAAAATTATGAAATCTATTCAAAAGTTTATATGAGAGGGGCCCCCAAAAACCTGGAATTATGTTTTTTGGAGGGTGGGCCCCTTGTAGTACATGATTCCTCCGCTAGGTAAGTGTTCTAGGAATTGATTGGCATCGTTGCATCAGCTGGTATCACTGTGAGAGGTTGTATTGTGGAAGAAATGTCCCAAATTGTGGTAAACAGGTGACTGGTTCTTCCACCATGACAAAGCACCTGTCCACACCACCATAAGCATTCAGCAGTTTTTGACCAAAAACAGCACAACATCCATGTTCCACCCTTCCTATTCACCCCATCTTGCCCTGAGCTAATTTTTTTGTTTCCCTGGATGAAAAAAGTCCTCAAAGGGAAACATTTTGCCAGTGTGGAAGAGGTGAAACAAAAAATGGCAGAAGCACTAAAAGGCATCAAAATCGATGAGTTCAAAAACTGTTTTGAGCAGTGGAAAAAGTGTCTCAATAGTTGTGTTGCATCAAATGGAGAGTACTTTGAAGGTGACTGAAATTTAAACATGTAAGAATACACAATTTAAAATAAATACACAATTTAAAAATAAATTCTGGGTTTTTTTGGTCTACCCTTGTCTTTTCCATACTTTGTATTTTAACTTCTGGAATGCCTATGACTCGTAGGTCTGGTCACTTTAATAATCCCATATTTCTCATAGGCTTTGCTCTTCCTCCTTGATTTTTTTTGTTTGTTTGTTTCTGACTAGGTTAGTTCAAGGAAGCCTGTTTTCCATCTCTGAGATTCTTTCTTCCAATTGTTCTAGGCTACTGCTGCAGCTTTGTATTGTGTTTTGTATCTCCTCCAGTGAGTTTTTTTTTCTTTTTCTGTTTTTTTTTTTTTTAAGTTGTCAATCTCTTGACTTGCTCTGCTAATTTCTTTTTGTTGGTTATTAACTTTATCTTGCATCTCATTGAGCTTTATAATCAATATCCTGAATTTGTTATTTGACATTTCATGAATTTCATTGTAGCTGGTTTTTGTTGTTGAATTGGTGAGCCCCTTTGGAGGGGGTAAGACTGTTTTTTCATACTTTCAGAGTTGTTTCTTGGTTCTTTCTCATCTGGATGAGCTATGGTGGCTAATCTGTATGTGTTCCTTGGATATAGATGGCTTGTGTGTGTAGGCTTTCCCGGGTGTTGGTTGTAATAGTGATGTAGTGGGAATGTGGGCTGGCCCATTGCTTCCTTGAGGCTAGGGTGGCAGGGGTTTTAGGAGGCTTAACTTGCTCCTAGGTGGTGTAGGCTGGTGTGAGCAAATTACCTGTTGTGATGCATAGTTCAATCTTCAGGCCAGCAGGTGGCACCTATAGGTATGGGCTGGCTACTGTCGATGTGGATGGGTATGTATGTTACTGGATGAAGCACTCTGTGGTCTCAGCAGTGAACTCGTCTATGGAGTGCACTGTGGCCTGTATTCCCAGTTCAGCCTTTTTCTGTGGAGTGCTGTTACAGGGGCTTTTTGCTCATCTTCTCCCTGAGATCTGGGGTGCCTTTTGCCATTCTGATGAATATCCGTTTTCCTTCTTAGATTGGGGTTTGCTGTATTGGTTTTTCCACACTATTTCAGTGTTCCGATGGGTGAGGCTTGCTCGAAAGTCTCTAGTCCATCTTCATTTCATGGCTTCTGAGCTGTCCCGGCATCCTCCCTAAGATCTCCCAGTACCTGTGGTCACAGGGTGGACAGAGGCTGTGGTAGAGCCACCTGCGTGTCCTGGAGAGTGGGCAGTAGACTTTTAAAGACAAAAAGATTAAACTTTTTTAATATTTCAAAAATTAAATTATTTTAGTAATCTCCTAGATGTCATTTCAGGTACCACAGACCTGTGAGGGAGACTCTTTTAAAAGGGCAAGTGGCCTTTCCAGAATTGCCTAAGTCATGCCATGCAAGCAGCACATAAGATAGGCTCTAAGCAGGCAGTCTAGGGATTGTAGGAGTCCAGTGTGTAGGTTGGCAACATTTAAAAAATTTCTCATGGTAAGTAAATCAGTGGCTTGGAATGTAAGACCTTGTTGGGGGGACAGAGTTAGAGGAGCCTTGGGTTGATGTGGGTGTGGGAGGTCAGTCTAGTGAGGAGCTGGTCCTGGGTTCTATTGTTGTTCTCATTACCTTCAGTGTGCCACAGGCCTCAAGAGGGCTGCCGAGACTGTGCTGAGAATGAGGCTGGGGTGCCAGAGGGCATTTCTCAGCGTCTGTGCTTCCCCCTCAGCTTTCAGCCTCCCCTGCCAGCCTGTCCCACAGAAGGCATTTCTCTTCACAAGAGCCCCTGCCCCTCACCTCTTGGCAGCATGCTGTCTCTTGTTACTCAGTGCTGGACTAGTGGGTGGGGCAGTAGGTCCCCTGTTTTTCTGGGCCTGACTCAGGCCTAGGCTGGCCCTTTGTGCCTGGGCTTTGGGGATGAGGCTTTCTCAGTGTTTCTGCCCTCCATCCACGTGGCAGCCAAACTGCCTTGTATGTGTGGGTCAGTCTTGGGCAAGTATCCCATCTCTGCCCTGGTGGTAGGAGACCTCTGCTTGGCCTTCTATCCTGCCTCCGTCTTTCATGTGAGGCCTTTGGATAAGTGCTTGCCAGTGAGTGTGAACTCTCCTTGGGTCTGGGGACCCAAGCTATTCCAGAATGACACCCTAGGCCACCTTTGGCCTTACCCCGGTACACGAAGATTTTAGCCGACACCCTCTTACAAGCTAGTATGCCAGTGGCCTTTTCTTCCCTGGCCCTGTCATAGCTGCGACTGTTCTTTTGTCCCTTTTCTCCTTGGTGGGGCTAGTTCCTCTTTGGAAATCAGGTTACGTGGTTACCTTTTGACCTCAGCTCTCAGCTGAACCCAAGAAAAGTCATGATGTGGTCTATCTGGTTTTTTGTTATAATGGAAGCAATGTTTTTTGTAGCTTTATACTTCCTAAGCATCGGAGTAATTCTCCTAAGGTCAGGCTTATTTGAATAACATTCTTTCCCTCCTCTGAACTAATAAAGATGGTACTAATAAAGATTAGTACCATTATTAGATACTTGTACTTTTTTGCCTATATTTGTATATCTGTTCTATATCCCCTACTAGAATGTAAGCTGTATGAGGTCTTGTCTTAATAATCTTTCCTCAAAATTGCCTACAACAGTGTTTTATACGTAGTACAAGCACTCAGTTACATGCATTGGTGGGCAAAAGGGTTTTTAAAAGAGTGAGTGGGGAAGTCCTGAAGAGGTGGATGATGAGGAAAATGAGGTTACTGTTCTAAGCAGAGGGAGGTAAGCATAGATTTGGCTCTTCTGTCTTTTTTAAACTTTCTCGGTACATGAGTATTTGATGTGGTGTCCATGTCCAGAATTAGACACTTCAATTGTATTTATAAGAAACTGGCATCCAATGTAGAGGGAAACAGTCCTGAAAATATGTCTCCAAAGTTTTCACTTGAACCCAACACATTCTTGTAAAGCAAACTACTTTTCCTGTAGATTTCATTATCTTATAGAAATGCTCCCACAAGAGAAAATCCTTAGTAAGCAGAAGTGAAAACTTCAGATGAGTAACAACTAAGATAGTTAGACAGGTGTGTGGGTGATGTGCATTAAATACTTTTACAGCAGTTTTCCTATATGTCATCAGCTGTACTGACCTTCCAGGCCATGGGAATTTTCCTCATGCATGAGGATTCAGTTAAGTCCACACTTTCAGATCCAGAGATCTCTTTCCTTTCCTCTTATCTGGGTTAGTATGACTTTGCATGATCACACCTCACTAGCAGGTGCTACCATTTTTAGGTTAGATTATGTGATATTTCCTGATGTAAAAAATCCTGTGGTACCCTAGTTTACCAAGTCATTAAGTTAAGCTTTATATACCAATTTTCTTAAATTTAGGAATGCCTTTATTAGTATGCAGCATCTGTGACATTACTAAGTTATTACTACACCAACTGAAGATTAATTTATTGCCCAACTTGGTCTTTTTTTTTTTTCCTTTCCTTAGTTTTTTGTAGAAGTTTAGATGGATCAGGAGCTTTCTCCATGGAGATTTTCGGCTTCCCTTTTTCTAGGCACAAAGTTATGATCTTTCTTCTGATGCTGACTGGCTTTAGGATGTTATCTGATTATTTAGTTTGCCACCATGCTATTTAATCACTTATTTCTAAGGAAATGAACTGAGGGTCTTGGAGTAGATAAGGACAGGAAAGTTTTATTTTCCACCCTAAATCACAGATGTTAGGAAATTCTTAATTCTTTCATTAAGTTCTTGTATGAGGGATTAGGGGCTGATTAACCCATCTGGCTATTATTTTTAGTAGCGAAGTTGTCAGAAGGAGAGACACAAGAGAAGAAAAAAGAAAGTGTAAAAGAACCAGAAAAAACATCAGTAGTTTCTAAAGAACCTACACGGATGGAAAAATCAACGGACACAGAGGAGGACAATATAGGTGGAACATTGTTTAACAACAAAGGCACCCAATTTTCAGGTCTTGCTGAGCGTCTAGAACCCGGGCAGACACCTGAAGCAGCTTGTGGTCCTTCTTCCAAATCAGCTACCCCTAAGACTGCTACTCCACCCTCATCACCATCTCCAGCAGGTGTCTCGCCAGAGTTTGCCTACGTCCCAGCTGACCCAGCTCAGTTTGCTGCTCAGATGTTAGGTAAAGTTTCATCTATTCATGCTGATCAGTCTGAGGTTTTAATGGTGGATGTGGCAACCAGTATGCCTGTTGTTACCAAGGAGGAGCTCAGCTCAGAGGCTGCTGAAGATGTCATGGTGGCCGATCCTCCTGAGTGTTGTGGAGAGGTACTAGAAGTACAGGTTGTGAGCCAGACATCTGTCCGTGTAGAGTTAGGTTCTAAACCTAAAGATGATGAGGCTGAACCATCAACGGCTTCCTCATTCCCCTTGCAGGTTGAACAAGAACCTCCTGCTTACGATCAAGCTCCTGAGGTCTCTTTGCAGGCTGATGTTGAGGTCACATCGAATGTTCGTATATCATCTATCTATAATAATGTGCCTGTGACTGAAGGAGTTATTTATATTGAGCAAATGGCAGAACAAATAGTTATCCCTTTTACTGATCAAGTTGCTTGTCTTAAAGAAAATGAGCAGTCACTACCAGTTAGTCCCACACCTGTAGACAAGACCACCTCAGGCGTGTCTAAAAATCCTATAGAGTCTGCAAAACTTCCACAGTTGGAGGAGAATGCACAGCACGATTCCTCAGTACATGTGGAGGCAGAAGCTACAGTTCTGCTCTCTGACACCTCTTGGGAAGGGCAGCCCAAGGTACCTGAACAACCCCTGGATGCAAAGGGCTCTATCAAAATAGGCTCTGAAAACGCTCTGCACCTTGAAATGGAGATCATTCCAATAGTCCCTGACAGTACTGGGCAGGAGGAGTCATGGGAAAGCTCTGCACCCCAGGAGGCTGAGGGTGCTTCTGTGTAATCCTCTAGTGGCCCCTTCCTCCTGTTCCTGAAGGTCTTACTACACCAGAAATTGAACCAGAAGGGGCAGCAGCACTTAAACAAGGTTTGATGAAACCAGGTAAGAAAATTAGATACTTACACAACTACAAATTGCATTTCAGGTGACATCTGTATTTCAGGTAACCACATAGGCTTCCTGCAGATTGTTCAAAAATCTCTTTTCAGGTTTTTTTTTTTAAATGCCAAACCTATTTAAAGGCTTTGCTGTATTTGAGATTTTACTGTTATGATATGAGTGGTTTTAAGGTGACATTCCCAAAGCTTGGTCTCAAAGTTTGGTCATCTAGAATAATACTTTGGTGTTATTCTTTTGGTCACATATATGTGATGAACAACATAGCCTGTTGTCAGGTACAAAATATATTCATGTGGTCTGAATACTCCTGTTGTAATTAAGGGGTGTTGGTTTAAAATTTCTCACTTGCGAATGTAAAATTAAATGACAGCAATACATTTACATAGACTGTGGCAATTTAAAAAATGAAAGAAATGGTGGTGTTTGATTCTGCCTTCGCACTGAGTCAGGAGAGCTCTGCAACCAGGTTTGGGGTGCTGGGTCAAGCATTTATTTTCTGTCTGGGAGCTTGTAGCTAAGGGAGCAGCTTCATAGCTAGATGGAGAGAGGAAAAGTCAGGTTGAACTTGTGTCACAAAGAAGAAAGGAGGCATCAACAGCAGAAAGGATAGCGAGGCACTTGAACAACGATGAATGCACTTCAGATAATTGGCTTCCTTTGATCAGTTACGGCTGACAATTGCCAAAATCAAGCTGCTTCCTTGGCTGCTGAACTGTCACTATGTTTTCCTGTCTCCATCTAATTATGGCATTTGGTCTGCTCACCGTCCTGCCTCATAGGTAGGTTCAGGGGTCCTTCTCTTTTTAGGGATGGAAGGGACATGCATGAGCCAGTCCCCCCCCCATTCCTTTTGCAGAAACTCTTTCAACCCTGACTCTTATCTAAGCCAGAATGATAAAGAATTGTTACCAAAGCAGGTGTTTAGAAAAGATCAAATTCTGTCTGGCAGTGTGACAGATTCTGCACAGCTGAAAAGGCAGAGGGCAACGTTGGGAGTGCAGCATGTGGGACTGGCATTGTACTTGTGGCTTAAGCAGCACTCCTAGACTGAGGCACTATTTTCAAATGCTTACCTATTTCCAGTAAAATAGAGTTGTCAACACCAAAATGATAATGATATTTAATAATGAAAACAACAAAAAATCTCAGATGATCAAAATCTTTCTCCTTTTGAAAAAAAACTGAAGACCTGACTTGTACATATTTTTCAAAATGCTTAAAGATCAATTGAAAGTATCTGAAGTTATTGAAAACATACCAGCTTAATCATGTGCATAGTGTTATTTTCTTCTCTGGGAAAGAAAAAAAAGGCTACACCAGGGACAGATGGGCCAGTGTTCAAAAGGCAAACTCAGCCCATTTGGGGTAAGTGAAATTCCTCCATCAGGAACTTTTTCTCCTAGCTGCCGTCTTCTGGGACTCAGTTAGCCAAGACAGTGCTGTCTTCACTAAGCAGGTCACACTTGGTATTATAGATTCCTTGGTGGAAGTAGATGGATGGTCCTCCTGGATCTCCTTTTTTTCTCCTTAAAGAACCCCTTGTAGGACTAACTAGCCTTTCACTGCTACCTAGGACCTATGGTTTCAAGCCTTGCCTAAAAGGAGTGCTCTGTGGAATTCTGAGTCCCAGATTATGTCATGTTTTACATGTGATGACCAATTAATAGGAGATAATGGTGTCTGTGAAGGGCCAGAGATACTTGATTACGTGATCCAAGATGACACCTAGTGCTAACTTCTTTAGGAAAAGAAAATCACTATGCAGATGCATTAACACTTTTTTCAGTGGTTAACACACTCTTCAGTTGATTTTTGGATAAAGCCTACAGTTTTGTGACTGTCCAGTTTGCTCTTTGAGGAGCCTGTAGAAGCCATGTCTAAAGCTGAAGCAATTGGAAACAGCAACTTAGAATAAGGTCATTTCTTCAGCCACAACTGTAGTGTCCCTGCCACTTGCTGTCACAACACTGTTCTCAGTTTCCAACTGTAGAGAATCTCTTCTTTCACATTACCACACACAATTTACTTAGCCCTCTCTATAGCATGCTTTATGGCACATAGCACTACAGCTGTTTGTTTATATGTAAAAAAAGACTTGCATTGACATTACTGTGCATAGCGCCTGATACAGAGACCAAACCTTTAATGCCTGCAATTTTTTTTTATAGCAATGGCAGCAAGCGAAGCAGGACAACCACCACCATATTCTAACATGTGGACCCTTTATTGTCTAACTGATATGAATCAACAAAGTCGCCCATCACCGCCACCTGCACCTGGGCCTTTCCCCCAAGCAACCCTCTATTTATCTAATCCCAAGGATCCACAGTTTCTGCAGCATCCACCGAAAGTTACTTCTCCAACTTATGTGATGATGGACGACAGCAAGAAGACCAGTGCCCCACCTTTTATTTTGGTAGGCTCAAATGTTCAGGAAGCACAGGAATGGAAACCTCTTCCTGGACATGCTGTTGTTTCACAGTCAGATGACTTGAAGAGATATGCTGCAGTCCAAGTGCCCATTGCTGTTCCTGCAGATCAGAAATTCCAGAAACATATCTTAAATCCCCAGAATGCTAGTCTTCCTCCAAGTGGACAAGATGTCCCCAGACCACAAAGTCCCGTTTTTCTTTCTGTTGCTTTCCCAGTAGAGGATGTAGCCAAAAAAATTTCAGGATCTGGTGACAAACGTACTCCTTATGGAAGTTATGGTATTGCTGGAGAAATTACTGTGACTTCTGCCCAGGTTCGCAAAGCAGAAACTTAAAACTGGTAGGTGAATTTTCCTACCATAATATGTGGGCCTTAACACACTTGAGGTTTTCAGCATTTTGATTTGTTGACCTGGAGATTTGAGATATTAAAAAAATTGAGATGATACATAGAGTTGGGGTGTACGCCAGTTCGATGTGATTATTATCTCCAACTTGCTAACCACTTGTTACTCATAAATACACAGCAGGTGTACTGTACCACAATGACTCACATCAAGGATTTGGTACATGAATCAATGAACCAATCAATTCAGTCACCTGTGAATACGTGGTCTGTTAAGTCTAACACCATGGTAGATGCTAAAACATTGGAATAAAAAAAGACAGTCTCTCTTTGGCATATTTAAGGAGCGGGGAGGAGCTAGGAACAGTTGGAGGACAAGGTGAGAGAGAAGTGCTGATTATATCATGGTGCACCTAATTCATGTGGTGAGACCATAGAATGGACAGTGTATAAAAATATGTGAAGTACTGTGAAGAAAAGAAGGTACTGGCACAGGCCCCTTTAATTGTCACTATCAGTTTACATTTACAGCCTCAAATGTAAACTGACACATGAGCATGAGAAGAAATCAGCCTTACAAAGAGCTCCCAGGCTGTGTCCTAGGGCAGGAAAGAGCATAGGAGTTTGAGGGACTGCAGACCACATGAAACTGGCTGGGAGGGGATGGAGGGAGGAGGACACAAGATGAAGAGGGAACCCCTGCATACCAAAGAAAGAGATTTAGGTTGAAAATTCAGTGGGAAGCCAGCACAAGTATCTTAAGCAGAATGACAGAAGCAGATTTTCTGTTTTTACTAGATCCCCCTGGCTGCCCTATGGAACATGGATTAGAAGTCAGGGGGAGGTCAAAAGAGGAAGCAAAGAGATGAGTTAAAGAGTACATTAATACAAGAGTTATACACATATGAGTTCAGTTACTTAAAACAATTTGTGGGAACATCGGAGAGATGGATAAAAGCGAGATTTCATTCATAGGCTCAGGGACTACAGTTACTATATTTAAGGAAAGACAACTGTTTCCAAAATATCTTAGGGTTATGTGTACTTCTTAAATATGGATTTTGAGTGGAATTGTCAAAATGGCTGTCTTCAGCATGAAGCTAGGATATTTTAGTGCAAAAGCACAGATAACTAAGAGCTTAGTAACAGCAGGAGGGTAGACCTTGTAGTTCTGATCTTCCACTTATTTCAAATGATCAATTTCATGATTGGATTTAAAGCGTTTACATTATTCCTAACAGATGCTGAAAGTGATGCCGTTTGAGTCAACATTCAAGGTGGAGTCTACCACCAAGTGTATATCAATAAACTTCATGCACGCATAAAACCTTATATTGCTTATTTTTATAATTTAGGAGGTATACAAACAATGGAACACAAAAGGCCTTAAATCTTTTCAAACTTGTGAAACAATAACATTTTCCAATTCTTATGTATATGTATTTTAAACCATTTCCACTCTAACAGATCTAGTCAAATTTTCTAGCCAAGTAATTCCCACTTAATTCTATATTTAAGATTCATGCCAAATGAATACAATAGTACTTCTCTGTGATACTGTATCTACCCAGAGATGATTAACTGAGTGCTAACTGCCTACTTTCCACTGTGCATGCAAGGTAGCCGGTTATCTTTTTGGCCATGGGGGAAAGGGTCCCCACCCCTAGGCTGTGGACCTGCATCAGTCTGTGGCCTGTTAGGAACCAGCTGCACGGCAGGTGGTGAGCGAGCAAAAGTTCATCTGTATTTACAGCTGCTCCCCATCACTTGCATTACTGCCTGAGCTCCACCTTCTGTCGAATCAGCAGCAGCATTGGATTCTCATAGGAGAGTGAACCCTATCAAGAACTGCACAGGCGAAGGATCTAGGTTGCATACTCCTTATGGATTCTAATGCCTGATTATCCAAGGTGGAGCTGAGGTGGTGATGCTAGCGCTGGGGAGTGGCTGCAAATACAGATTAACATTAGCAGTGAGGTTTGACTGCAAATTCCCCCCTACCTCCACTCCTTCCTTGGTCTGTGGAAAAAGTGTCTTCCATGAAACCAATCCCTGATGCCAGAAAGGTTGGGGACCACTGCCATAGGGACTGGGGCACCACAAGGACTTCTTTGAAAGGACACATTTAACAATTTAGTTATATAGTGGCAACATTAGTATATTTGAAATTTTCAAAGAAACCACACTTGGGGAACATTCTAAAGCCTTTATTTAGCATCAGGTAGATTATTTCATTATAGCACTTGTTAACTTCAAGACAGCAATTAAAATAACTTACTGGCAGCTACCTAAGGCCCCTTGGAGCAATGTCTCAGTCTGGGGTTTGGGTGGATAAATACTATAAGATTTAAGATTAATGTACCCCAATTAAAGGGGTAAAGCTACTGTACAGTAGTCTCCATACATATTTTAAGTACACAGGTGGCTTGCAAACTTGAAATGCACAAGACCTCCTCTTTTATATAGTTTGATACTTACAATACATACATGAGTGCAACTTAATTCCTCTGGTAGCATTTGCCACTGGAAGTGGAAGCATTTAAAAAGGTCAGTCATTATGTAATGGTGATTTAAATCTATATTTCTAGGACATTTTTGTGAATTGCTAGATTTTATACATATTTTCAGTTCAAACATGTACAACTTAAACATTTTAATTAATGACACTGAGTACAGAAAATTATAAAAGTAAACTCAGAGCACTAAGTAAATGAAATACTTTTCCAGTTTAATTCTTTTGATTTTTCAAATCTGGAAAATCTATTCTGAATATTCAGGCTTTTTTTTTCTTTTTGGAGGTTGGAAGGGGTAAAATTATGAGGATTAGTATGAATAAAAGCCATCTCACCAATGGAGTCTTTACAAAATGACATAACCTCTATGTTTGAGTACATAAACATTGTATAGGAGATTCTAAACATTTCAAAGTTACAGCTAACACATTCAAGCATGACAGCATAAAAATATTCAAAATAACTTGATTTGGGATTACTATATAATTCCATAAAGCTAAAGTTACATTTAGGTATAAACCTTCAGTAAATATGGTAACAGCAACCATAAAAAGCATACTCTCCAGCAGTTTCTCTTACCTCTATAGAAAACAGTATTCCAAATAAGTATGTTTTATAGCAAAATTATGCATTTTTCTAAGACTTTAATCACCAATACCACCTATGCCCTACTTTTGTTGAGTGAAATACAAGTTATCTCGTAAGTGGGTTTTTTCTTTTTTTTAAAAGATGAGTAGAAACCAACGGAAAAAATTTAAAAACATAGGTTTTAAGACTTATTTGTAGATGAGCCAAACACCCTGACTTGTCTGCATTTTAATAAATGTCAGGCAAATTGAAGTAGTTTCTGTCCCAGTAGCTGCCAGAGTAAATCCAGTCCTGTGCTCCATTGTAGGGATTGGGACCTTGATGGAACCACCTGTGTAAAGAGAAAGGACAAGACTTACAAGGGAAATGATTTGAAATCCAGGGTATGTGCCTCTCCTCTAGCTTACAGTATTTTCCTATCACAGGAATTCATTCTGTGAGGGATTTCCAAAGAGATGCTGGGAAGTGATATTGTTTTTATCTGTAGGATAATATTTCAAAGGGGGGCAACCATGCCTCACAAAAGTAATAGATTTCTCACAGCACATAGTTATACTACTTGACAGAGGCAGAGTCTTCTAATAGGGCTGTTAGAAACAATGTGTCTAACCAGTTCACTCTGGACCCCACTCTTCCACTAAAAGGCATTCTTTTAAGCAGTTAGGAATAAGGAATTAAGGAAATTAACTTTTACAACATACTTACAGCAATATGCATGGTGCCTGATTCAGAGTAAATGCTCCCTAAACTCTTAAAGCTCCATTTTATATTAGAAGCTGAATGTCGGAGGGGTTAAATAACTTGCCCAAGCTAGTAACTGATAGCAAACTTAGGTTTCATTCTAAAGCCCATGATTTTTCTTATATATTCCTATATAACCCACTGAAATTAGTCTAGTCCAAATCTTATGGATTCTTAGGCTACATCTAGCTTTTAACATCTTAATCTATTCAAATGCTAAAAAGAGCTGCCCTAATCATTTTTTCTCCTTAAAAAATGTCACCCATTTTACTGGTACTATACCAGCTTTCTTTAGGTAGTAGAATTACAAAATTTTACAGGTACTATACCAACTTTCTTTAGGTAACAGAAATACAAAATTACTTGCTCAAAATGCTCACAAATTTGTGTAACCTTCTAAATATGATTTAGTTTTCAGAGTAACATTTATGAATATAGTTTTCTATGTCCTTGCCATTCTTTCCAAATAAATTGCTTCTAAAAATATTTATTACAGGAAGCAAAAACAAAAATAGACAAATGGGACTATATTAAACTAAAATGCTCTACACAGCAAAGGAAACAGTAAAAGGACAACCTGTTGAATGAGAGAAAATATTTGCAAACTTTTTCTGACAAGGGACTAACATTCAGAATATACAAGGAATTCAAAGAACAGAAAACAAACATTAAAAAGTAGATGAAGGGCATAGATAGAAATATCTAAAAAGACGACCTACAAATAGCTAACAGGTATATGAAAACATTCTCAACATCACTAATCATTGGGGAAACGCAAATCAAGACCATAAGGAAATACCCTTGTTGAAATGGCTATTATTAAAAACAAGGCTAGTAGTGGTTCATGCGTGTTACCCCAGTACTTTGGGATGCCAAGGCAGGAGGACTGCTTGAGCCTAGGAGTTAGAGATGAGGTCTTGCTGTGTTGCCCAGGCTAGTCTCGAAGTTTTAAAAATAAAAATTTTAAAAACTCCAAAAAACAAAAAAAATCACATTTTCCAAGAAAAAAGGGAACCCGGATACACTGTTGGCAGAAATATAAATTAGCAGAGCCACTATGGAAAACAGTGTGGAAATTTCCAAAACAACTAAATATAGAACTACCTTATGATCCTGCAATCCCACTACCGGGTATTTATCCAAAGGAAAGCAAATCAATATATCAGAGGGATATCTGCATCCTCATATTACAACATTATTCACAATAGCAAAGATATGGAATCAACCTAAGTGTCCAACAATGGTTGAATGAATAAATGTATATCTATACAAGGGAATACTACTTGGCCATAAAAATAACGAAAGCCTGTAATTTGCGGCAACATGGATAGAAATGGAGCTCATTAGGTTAAGTGAAATAAACCAGGTGGCACAGAAAGACAAATATTGCATGGTCTCACATATGGGAGCTAAGAAAGTTGATCTCATGGAAGCGGAGAGCAGAACGGTAGATAACCACTAGGTGTCTGTGGGAAGGGAGAATGGAGAGAGGGGGCTAATGGGTACATATAGTTAGACAGAAGGAATAAGTTCTAGTGTTTGACAGCAAAGGAAGGTGACAGCAATGTATTATATATTTCAAAATGGGTAGACGAGATGTCAAATGTTCCATACATACACAAATGATAAACACTTAGGTGAAGAGACCTCAAATGCCCTGACTTGAGCATTACACATTTTACACATGTAACCAAATAACTCAGGTACACCATAAAAAATGTACAAATATATATCAATAAAAAAGCAAAAATACTTAGCTATGACGTGTGAGTTTACATTCATTTGGTAAGCCTCCAATGTCCTTTTTTGTTTTTAAAGAAAAAAAAAAACAATTTACTGAGAGGACAGAAAAGTTCCCAAAGTGGGAGGGGACCCAAGGGAGTTGCCCTCCAATGTTCTTTTTTTTTTTTTTTTTGAGTTGGAGTCTCACTCAGTCACCCAGGCTGGAGTGCAATAGCATCCCAGCATCAAGCTGCTGGACTCAGGTAACCCTTCGGCCTCAGCCTTCCAAGTAGCCGGAACTATAGGTGTGCGCTACCATGCCTGACTAATTTTTGAGTTATTGTAGAGATGAGGTCTTGCCAAATTGCTCAGGCTGGTCTTGAACCCCCAGGCTCAGGCAATCCACTTGCCTCAGCCTCCCAAAAAGTGCTGGGATTACAGGCTGAGCCACTGAGCCCGGCCCTACCAATGTTCTTATTATCACCATAGTAACAATAAGAACCCTAAGAGAGAAAAAATGTTTTATATTAGGCTAATTCCTCAAAGGGATCATACAGTAAAAGTCTATTAGACCAAATTTCCTAGACTATTACTATATATATAATTTATTTAGCTTTGGAGACTTTTTCCTAATTAGAAATTTAGTTTAATGATATGGGCTATTTAGACTTTGGATACATGAAAAATTATCAGGAACTATTATTAAAGCCACAGAATTTTTGTCTAATGTGAAATACACTGTTGTTACATTCCTTTGGGTTTCAAAAGTCCAAGCAATAAAATGACTTTTGTAGTTAGGCTTAGCAAAGTAAAGCACTTCAGAAAAGCATCCCAAATCAAGGTAATAAAAAAAACTTAATCAAGCCTCAGGCCCCGTGCCATCAGATTTCTTCCACATGATAGGGAGAGGAAAAAGTCTAAGCTGCAAGGAGACATTTCCCAAAATGGCATATTTGATAGCAAAGGATAGTCTTGTTCACAGGTGCGCTGCTTTAAAAAGCTCGCTAAGGACTATGCCTGCAAGCCTACCTTGGGGATCACCTGTTCTTGGTGATCTGAGATGTGCACCTCTGGACCGATGCTTTTATACAAGGGATTAGGGTTTCTCTCAACCCCTAGTTTCCCTAATTC